GTTATAACTGGTTTTGAAAAGTTCTTTTCTTGATTATTAATATTGAGAATATCGATAACGAATAAAAAAATCGAAGATTTAGAATTTATAATAAATAATTTATTATCCCGAAATTTTATTCTAAAATCAAAAATAGATATATTATTAATTAATTATTATTTTATATATAATTATATTAATATAATATAAAAAGTAATTAAATAATTAAATGAACAATATTTCTGTATATAATATAAATACAGATTCTTTTATTCCCTTTTTTAATAATTTTATCAAAATTTAGTAAAGTCATATTCTCCAAAATTCCTATTCCCTTAAATCTTATAAGAAAAGAAAAAAGTAAAATTATAAGTTAATATTTTGTTATAAAAAGCTTTAATTACAGATTTCTTTTAAGAATATTTTTGAATATTCTAAACTTGAACTAAATAGATTGTTTCTGTAAGCAATTTTTTATTTAGATTTAATAATAACCTTTTTCTGATTTTATTATAAATAATTTTGAGTTTCTTAGAATAATCAAATTTTATTTAGATATAAGTGATATTAGAAAATATAAAGATTTTTCAGAAAATTTAAAATTCCCTATATTGAAATACAGGGAATAAATATTACCCAACCTTTTTTAAATCTATTTTATAAAAAAAAACTTTTTTTCTTAAAACTAACTGTTTATTCAGATTTCTATAAATATTGTCGAAAAGATTTCCATAAATTATTCTCGTAGTCTTTTTATAATAATAAAATATGATTTATTTATAAATAATTATATTTTATTTTAAATCTATATAAGGCTATAATTCGATTTTTGAAAAAAAAAAGTATATCTCTTTTTTTGTTTATTATTAAACTAATATTATTTGATTTTTTTATAATATTAAATAATTTCTTATTTTTCTATTTTTTATTAACTTTTTCAAATTAATAACTTTTTATTTTTTAAAATAATTTAAAAACTTAGATTTATATATAGCTTTCTAATCTTTTAATATTCTTTTTTTTATATAAATTATTAATATAAAAAAATAAAAGATAATAGGATTATAAAGTAATTTTTTATAAATATTATAAATAAATTATTAAAATATAATATTTTTAATAAAAAAGAGAAGAAATAAGTATTATATAGTATATTATAAAATATATAAGAAAGTGAATAGAAACTGATTGCTTTTCTTTAAATTATATAAAGAAGATCTATAAATACTAGCTATAGAAAGAGGTTATGTGACCAGTATCAAGTTTCGCTCACAATAGAATTTTGGTTTTGTTGACTTGTCCTGTTTCTGTTGGTTCGAGAAGGAGTAAAACATCTCCTTCGGGATCTGCAACTATTGTTTGTGTGGAGGCGGTTTGTGTAGAAGACATATTTATATTGCTGACTTGTTGAAGGTTGAGTAGGATAAAGAGTTGGGATTGTATAGTATATTGAATATGGTTGAGGTCTTATGTATTATACAAGAAAACTTCATGAAAAATATTGAAGGTATAAAGAAGGGTGGAAGCTGCTTGTTTATGAGAAGATGTGGAAGTGGAAGCAGATGGACTATCCGAGTCTATTTATGAGAATGGATTTAAACATTAGAATAACTAGGTATTGAAGAGGGTACTGTATTTGTTGCCTCGAAGCGAAATAAGTCAGTAGCCAAGCAAGAGATATAATAGGTTGATCAGTCAAATCAAGTGAATCTTTGGCAGCAATCTTCTGGCACATGATGAGCTTTGTGAATATATTCACATTTTTTGGCCCACTTAATTGAAGCAGTATCATTTTGGAGATCGGTTATCATGGATTCAAGATAGGTAGGATATTCTATCTAACTTGAAGGAAGATCTTGAGAAAGGATTGATAAATTCTTTCGAAAAGAATCTTCTCATTTTGCTTGTATATTGAATCTCTAACATAAAGATGTCTATACATTCTGAGAAGAGTTCTGGAGACTATCTAAATATAATCATTCAAATTTGGAAGTGGAAAAATGGAGGAAGTGAAATTGACGAGAAAGAAGAAAGAGGTTCTCTTTAAAGGTAAAGGTAAATATAAACACTAAACAATTTTAATTATATCGACTCATTAACAGAGTCATCAAACAACATGCCCTCAAGGAACAAACTCAAATTAGTTCTGATGTCTTCATTCATACAATAGCTGACTGGATTTGAATCTGCAAACAATATCTTCATGGTGTGTCCCTTGGGTTGTTTGAATATATAAAAACATGAAATCTGAGAAATTTGTTGATTACTAGATCCAATAAGAACGAGGAAATGAAGCTGAATGAATTTAAATTAGATTTTAGCAAGAGTTCATAGTTCTTTTTGCTAAATGAGAACAATTTACGCCGATTTGGAGTACAATATTCATTCATTAGGTATGTTCAACATATGTGATGACTCAAGTTAGTTAAACTTTATATACCCAATTAGCTTAGATTCGATAATGGCATCACTTTTATTATAATAACGTGTCATATTCTGTTTTCGTCTCACGGAAAGTGGTTGGAGGTCTCAATCAATGAATTCCTAATATTCAAAAGCTGTATCAAATAGAGCTTGCTGATTATAGATCCGATTAAATCACCGCCAAACCAATGTCATCAGTTTTCCTGCCAGTGAGATCATGGACACATAGTCACATCGATTCGATAATCTGAACACCAAAGCTAACATCAACATATGTACAAGTATATCGCATGTCCTACTCGCCCAACGATTTCTCTATTCACCAACACAAATATCATCACCACCCCACCCCATCCCCCGCTTACCATCATCCTCATCCCCTTCCATCTAGCACGTAAAGACCGCTGGTCCCGGAATCGTATATGGCTGAACCGCATACATATCATAAACAATTCCGGGATCCGTCGCCTTATAAACACCTGGAATTGCTACCTTACTACTAGGGCCCGTACTGGTTCCACTCCCCGTAACCTGTATCTGATGACAACTTGGATAAAATTGCACACCTGGATATGTCCACGCAGCATGCAATGCAAGAATTTCATGACGAACAATATATGAGCCAGCGGAGAGACAGGAGGGGATAGTGTAAGAGTAAGAATTTCCAGCGGTCTTTAGGGGGGTATCGCCCCAGACTGTGGTGTTGCCGATGCGTCCGGTGGCTTGGATTTTAAACCAAACGGCGCTGTGAGGGCATTATTAGTGAGAGGTAAGAAGTGAGATAGGAAGGCAGTGGGAAAAACCTACTCAGTGCCGGGGAGATAGTTACTACATCCTGCAGCGGGACATTTCGCCATGTAAGTTATCACTGGACCGGCTTCACAAATGTCAATTAGCATCTCTACATCTACTCAATGATCTTCTATATCTTCCTTTACAACTCAAAGAAAATTAAATCATAAGAACTTACAATGACTATCGGGCCATAGGGTCCATCTCAAACTAACCGTACTCCCAGCCGCAACCGGACCCGCAGTCAAACTCGCAGGTTTAGAGCCAACAATACCCCCTTCGGTATAACCACCACATTGAAGATCAATAAGCGTAAGATCAGTGATGGGGCCATTGCCCTGGACTGGACGAATGATGCGTGGGGGTGGTGTAGCATAGTAGGGATCGGAATTTGGCTTTGGAAGAGGAGACTACGTCAATAGGATACATGTTGGCAGTTTGACAGGGACTTACTTGATAACCCTAGATAAGATTTGTTAGCTTTAATCTCATGTCTGATTAAGAAGGAAAAGCTTACAGTATACAGAATCCCATTAATCGTTACATTGTCCACATATCCATGAGCCGCGACCGTCGCCACAAAAACGAGAAGATTTGAGAAAGTTTTCAAATGCATCGTGACTCTTTGAAGCAAGCGAGCAAGTACAGAAGGAGAACCGAATTTTCAAGATCCAGACTTACACAAAGACTCATATATTAACGAAGCACCTTGAAGAAAAATGAAGGAAATTAACACATGATGCATCTTCAACGTCCAACGGCCCGCAGTTCCAATATCCCCAAAGCTTGCTTCAGCTAACCCTTTATCTGAATATCTCCCAAGACAATGCAAGAAATTCAATGATAAGAAGCACACATCCCAACTCACATCTACAAGAAGAAGAAAAAATACACCGTCGGCCAGTCTAGCCGCCTCTCTCGTGACACTCATCTTTCCACGAACAAGCATTCGCTATACCCCAAGCGCAAGAAAACATGGGAAATATTCTCCTGCAATTCACTCTATTTCCACCAGATTTCTCCTCTCACAATGACATTTTTTAGGATTGTAGGAGATAGATTCCGATAATATATTACACCGAGTCAGATGCCGCTTGGCGCGTTTCGCTTAGACGATTGTGTGACTATAATAACTATAGGCTAAATTTCATGATAGTCTTGGTTCTTTGAAAAATTGAAGTTTGACTGAACTGGATTGGATCGATCAGGCGTTTCTCGTCTTGTTTCTTTTCAGGTGACGTGGAACTGTCCGTGTTGTGTGTTGTGGAATCTGGGGTCATTAGTGTGGCTCTAGAGATATTACATTGCCAAGCGATTCGAATTTGGGGTTCTGTACAGGTTGTTCTAGGCTGTTTACAATGCATTAGATATCTTTCTTGTCTTTCGTGTTTTGATTTTTCCCTATTAAGTTATGAGATGCCTTTCACCCTATAATCACTCTTTCTCTTCACGCTGGGCTTCACTGCTTTTCCATTCAATCATCCATTTAAAGTATTCAATCTCCCTGTAGAAAAATAATAAAAATGCAGATTATGTCATTAAAATGTCTATTCTAAAGAAAATCATAGAAAAATGAGGAGAGAAATCGTGAATTGTAGTCGAAACCCCCATTAGCGTGTTTCCACACAATACAATAGCAACCGTCCTTGGGTATCTGTTGCGCCGCATATAAAATCAATCAATCTAGACATGTATAAAGTGGAGAATGTCGATGGCCGTAAACAATAAAACATTCGAATTTTCATCCTTCCCTATCCGCCAAAGCAAAATAGCACTTTTCGTTTCTGGTCCCGTGAATTCATGAATCAAACCCTCTTCAAAATTCCGCCTTCCACAAATTTGATCACGAGAACAAATAATCCACCAACCAACACCACGACACCACTAAAGTCCGAAACTTGATCAAAAGAATGGTAATGTTCGACAAGTGCACCATTGATAGGTGGACCAATCAAAGCTGCAAATGCCGTGACGAACATGCCCATTCCCATATAGGTTCCGATGTTCTGAGGGTTCTTAGGGACCATTGCAAGACATAAAGTCACTAGTGAAACGATTGCCCCAGAACAAAATCCATAGATGGCCGCAAAAACGATGATACCGGCACTGGACGTAATACTTTGCCAGCAAAATACTAGTATTCCAGTAGAAACGCCGACTGCACACAACATATTCAGTCGACCAATCTTGTCTGCCAAAATACCAGGAATAACACGACCAAAAAATGAAGCGCCATTCAGTATTGAAATGAGATATGAAGCTAACTCTGTGCTCATCCCATACTGAACGGCATAAGATGGGAGGTAGAAGATAGGAATAAATACGCCGAGCATCATCAAGAAAGCCGAGACCAGTAAAGTGATATAAGGAAGCTCCTTGAATGCCGCTGGAAGGAAAAATGATTTTTTTCGAGGGGGTAATCGCGCTCGGATAGTCGTGCAAGAGATTCCAAGGACTGCAAGCATGATGAACCCAATGATCCGAACACTCCATCCGAATCCCAATTTTGGGTTCGCAAACATTTTTGCTAGGGCAATTGGAAATATAACGCCTCCCACTGAAGACCCAGCGACTGTAATGCCCATTGCCGCGCCTCTCTTTTTATTAAAGTATTGACCAACAGCTGTCATTCCAGGTGCCATTGTCATGCCAGTAGCTACTCCACCGAGGATCCCTTGTGTAAGCATGAATTGATAGTACTCCTTGCAGAGACTAGTCATCATGACGCTAAAAACATATAGAAGAGCAGCAGGCCATATTGTTCTTCCTCCATAACGATCGAAAAGTGGGCCGCCGACGGCACTTCCGCTAAAGAGAAAGAATACCTGGAGAGATCCAATCCACGATATATCGGAAGGGGTTCGATGAGAGAGTTGATGGGTTTGGTAGTATTCTTGGTAAACACCTAAGTAAATGGTTAGTTGTCGCTAATTTTCAAACCGGCGCTATTTTTAAAGGAGAGACAATGGTTGAACAATCTTGAGACATCAACAAGAGTTGTAAGATTCGGAAAGACCTACCGAAAGCATTTATATATCCAAATGTACAGAATAAAACTCCAGCTGCTCCTGCTGCTACAGACCAAGCCCTTGCTCCCCCATCAGGGAAATCCATAATAAACGCATTTTGCTTTTTGGCTTCGCTTTGAGTCGCTTCTAATCTCTCGTTCTTGGTTTCCGCCTTCTCCACTGATCTCTCGATGTCAACGTCGGAATCTACGGGTCTGCCAGTGCTTGTGGGGTCATTCTTAGCCTTATGGGTTTTGGTGGATTCCATTGTGGATAGGAAAATGCGGATGCCGTACTTCGCGTCGATTGTTTTGTAAGCAGGGATGATACGGAAATTGGTACTTTCTTGGTATTGCGTCCAATTTTTGATGGAGCTGCGAAGGTCAAAGTTTAACAAGTTATTATTTGTGAGTTTGTTGATGGCACTATAGGTTTTGATACAGATCAATCACCCATCCTCTATATCTACTTTCTACCATTGTAAGATGGCGGCAAGGGTGTGGACATAATCGACGACGACGCCGATCCTCCCTCTTTCCCCCGTCCCCTTCATTGAGTCTAACGGGAATGATGAGAAATACCTACCTATCACGGACAATTCTTTAAATCCGGAAAGAGCGAGCCGGGCTCTCACGGCTCTCTACAGTATCCGCCACGAGATGTCTTAGTAATCCCCACCATGACCGTTCTGGTGTTAGCTCTTACTTTTTATCGCCCGGTATATCGGGTGAATGGATCAATGTCCGAAATTCTTATAAACAATCCGCTTATCTCCGCTCATTGCATCGTATGAGCACGACTCTTTTTTCCCTTATAATCTCATCTCGGTCTTTTCATTATTTCTTTTTCAATTCAACTCAATATACCGTCGTAAATCCGTACAGCCTCGACATACCTACGCCTTTCTGGACAGGATCTGGTTGTAAACTGTTTGCGTGCTTTACATACCAATCAGTTCCCGTTTCAATCTACGAATTGACCGTCTCAATACACCGTCGGAATTAATTACCTCCGTCAAAAGCATCCAATTCAGTTCGAATCTTTACGATGGACATCAATTCCATCGTATTACAAACGTCAAGAATAGAAGGGAATCATCCTCTGCCTCCTACTCAACCCCGGAAACGTCGCAGGCCAGCCTTGTCCTGTATACAATGTCGACGTCGGAAGATAAAATGTGATCGAAGCATGCCATGTGGTCAATGCATCTCATCAAAGACCTCAGCATGTCAATATAGCTCCGATCCAGCTCCACAGTCTAAAAGACCCCGGGTCAATGGGAACGGCCAATACCCTGCTACACCTTCAACTATAGGTCACAGTCCCGGAAGTACCACCCATGCATCACCAAACTGCAATGGTGGTACAGATAATGTAACCAATGGTGTCCCATCGGACTCTACAAACATCTGGGCTGAAAGAACCCCTATCGTTGAAGGGTTACTTCCACTTCGTGGACAGGCTGTTGTACCACATCAACCCCCTTCGGATCCAACTGTACAAGCTCTCCTAGACAGAGTACATAAGTTAGAACAGATAATATCTGAAACTGATGCTATGAATGATGGCCCAAATCTGCTTCACGCTTCATACGTCAGAGGCCCTAGCTTGAGGGGAAGTCTTTCCAAAACAAGATTCTTTGGGCAAAGTCATTGGATAAACTCGATTGATCAAGTAGGTTAGCATATTATAACTTTTCCTGGTTCCTTCCATTTCATCTCAATGCCGCAGAGTCTCTTCTTGCTTCTATCTACCGTCTCTTCCCACTTGCTCCGCTTTGAACCATGACGTTTGCGTTCGCTCAAAACTGATATTTTACCTCAATCATCACTAATTACGTTAACAATTGCTAATGTGTTTAAAGTCTAAACATCTGACCAAACTCAAAGAGCTTGGGCCATTAAGCAAGGGGGGAGAAGTTTACGATCTATTGAACAAATGCAAGGCATTGGGTAAAAAGGCAAAAGAACTCGGAGGTGCGAAATCATCAGTACCAAGTGGGTACCGCGATTATATCCCGGACAAGGAGACTTCGGATCGTCTCGTCAATGCATATTTTCGAACTTTTGAATCCGCCTATCGTATTTTACATATTCCAACATTTGAAGAGGAATATGCATTGTATTGGAAGAATCCTGCGGCAGCGGATATGGCTTTTGTCATAAAATTGCTACTCGTGATGGCCATCGGAACAAGCTTTTACGAAGATCCTATACAGCCCAGTTCTTTACATCCCAAAGCTCAACATTGGATTGCTGCGGCTCAAGCTTGGGTTTCAGCACCATCCGAAAAGCATCGTCTTAACATGGTGGGTCTACAAATCCATTGTCTACTTCTTCTAGCTCGTCAAGTAAAATCCGTTGGGGGCGATCTCACATGGATTTCTTCTGGTTCTGTCTATCACTTGGCCATGTCCTTAGGTCTCCATCGTGATCCGGTGCACTTTCCCAAGATGGGTCCATTTTATGCAGAGATGCGGAGGCGACTTTGGGCAACAGTTTTAGAATTTTCTTTACAGTCAAGTCAAGATCTTGGAATGTCGCCTTTAATCAATACACAAGATTATGATACGGAGCTACCAGCAAATATCGATGATTCGGAAATTAGTGAAACGACCAAAAAAGCACCAATGTCAAAACCTATAACGACGTTTACTCGAACTTCAATTCAAATATCACTTATGAGGACCTTCTGTACGAGGCTCGAAATAGCAAAGGCCGTCAATAGCTTCAGAAATGAGATCTCATACGAAGATACATTGCGCCTAGGATCTACGTAAGTACTCCCTCTTAGGAATTCGTGATTCGAGATACATTTCGTTATATGCAAGTTTATACTGGTCGAGGAATTTGTAGATCTTAAGGGACTAATGATTATCACCTTTAGGCTCTCAGCAGCAAGTCGTTCTAGCTCCGCTTTACTACAGTCATTCCTTAGATCCAATTCTGAACCAAAGCCAAACCCTTTCCAAATTAAGTTGCATGACTTCTACACGACCCATTTCCTCTTAGCCTTGCATAAGCCTTATGCAATCAAAGCCAAGGTCAATCCAACCTATTATTTCTCTCGAAAGGTCTGCCTCGAAACCTCTTTATCTCTACTTGGGCCAGCAATATCACTCCCGGAGCAATCAAACTTATCTCAGCCTGATGATTGGACCCTACTTACCTGGACCGCATCCGGTATCACAAGGGGGACTTACATACATGCACATATAAGTATTGGCTTGGAACTAAACCAACAACTTGAAGAGGACCCTCCACTATCTTTATCAATCAACCCACCTCCTCCTCAACAGGTAGAACTTCTACGTGTACTCCGTAGTGGGCGCGATTGGTCCACTAATCGAATAATGAGAGGCGATACTAATATCAAAGGACATGTGTTCGTATCTTGTCTTTGCGGTCAGGTTGAAGCTCTTCAGAAAGCTGCTCCTGCTGATGAGGGAATCATAACCGAGGCTCGGAAGAGTGTGAATCATTGTTTACAATTGATGACGGATAAATACAAAGAGCAGGAAACGCAGACAAGTGCAGAAGCAAATCGCAATCTATCGATGAATTCCGGTCTTAACGGTGTTGACTGGGACGCAATGGTAAGTCTTCTTCTTGTATCTAACATGATGATCAGGTACTAATTCTTTCTAGATGCAAGATTCAAATGTCGACTTCGAATTGCCAGGAGAATGGGTCTTCTCTGGATGGGAGGATGGTAATTTTTTGATTTGATATGATCGACCCATTAAGTTGTATGATTAGTTGCATGTTAGAACTGAGCCTTGACGGAGGAAACGATTATAGACTAGGATTTTCATTATCTCCTACCTGGTTGCTCATAATAGCGCACATTTTTTCAAAATTCATTTATCTACAAGAAGCTTCTAGGGGACGAAGAGACAAGCAACAAAGTATAGCATTTTGATTCAGATAAAGATATGGACACTCCAATATTTGATCGGCGCTCGGAAAGAAATTCGATTTTACACAATTGGTCACCTAGTATGCTACATTGGTCCTTCGAAGTCACATGCAGTAAGCGCGATTTAATTATTGACTAGCCCCTTCCTGTTTACTGTTTACCGAGAACACACTCCCATCTTAATTTGGAGTATGTTGGTGAGCCGGGTAAAAGCGTAATAAATGTTTGTATTGCTTCGCCGCAGACCGACGGCGAAACTACTGTTGTGTCCAATTCCTACTCGACTACAAATATCCTCCGACCTAGGCAGTTCCAATTCTTCTGTAATAAAGCAACGAGATTCTTTATGTTTCATTTAAATGTCACAAAGTTAAAAGTTTCCAGCACATATTCCAATTTAACATGAACGAAGAGGCACTATCATTCCCTGAACAAGGGAATTCGGATTCCCACCCGGAGCCGCACCCCACCAAACGACACGGCTGGCAATTTTGGGCCATCTTTCCAGGCTTGTGTCTTGCATCCGTATTGTGTGCACTCGATTCCACAATCTTATCAACCGCTTTACCAACCATTACAGCCGATTTGAATTCATCATCAAGCTACGTTTGGATAATCAATGCTTATACAGTTACTTTTACTGCGATACAGCCATTTTACGGACAATTTGCTGATATTTTTGGGCGAAAAAGTGCCACTATAATAGCAATATGTTTTTTCCTGCTGGGTAGCGGTATTTGCGCCGGGGCAGGTCATACTAGTATGCTGATTAGCGGACGAGCAGTTCAAGGGCTTGGGGGAGGTGGCTTAAGCATCTTGCCAGCAATGGTAGTTTGTGATTTGGTTTCTTTGAGAGAGAGACAGAAATATACTGGTTTGATCTATGGAGCGTTTGCTATTGGCACTTTCATTGGGCCCGTGTGAGTGGTGATTCCATAATTATCAATTCTTACAAATTGTTCTTACCGGGTTGATGCCTTCGTCATCTGAATGCTAACGCATCCTCTTTGCTAGAGTCGGAGGCTCAATGGTCGAACACATTGGATGAAGATGGATTTTCTGGCTAAATTTGCCCATCGGAGGACTGGCCCTACTTTCAGTGATCTTGTTCTTTCGAGTTTCCCACGTCCGTTCTGGGCCAACCATGTCAAACCTAGGAAAGATTGATTACTTTGGTAACACATTATTGATCGGAGCAATTACCTCGATTCTGATTGCGTTGTCGGGTACCGATGTGGAAAGACCATGGGAATCTTGGCAGAGATTGGTGCCACTGTTATTGGGTTTTATGGCTCTACCCTTATACATGATTTTTGAGAACTCGCCATTTTGCAAGCAACCCACAACTCCCTTGCGACTATTCTCTCATAGAACATCGTCTTTAGCTTTTTTGCTCACATTTCTTCATGGAATACTCTTATACTGGGCCAGCTATTTTCTTCCCGTTTACTTTCAAGCCGTCTTGAAAGATTCTCCGCAGGAATCGGGGGTCCATACTCTTGCAGCAGCCATACCAATGGTTCCGTTTGGCATTTTAGGCGGGTTTTGGATTGCTAAAGTGGGACATTATAGACTCAATCAAATCCTAGGGTTTGTACTTGCTACTATCGCCATTGGATGCTTCAGCATTCTAAATCAAAAGTCTTCTACAGCCGTTTGGGTGATACTGCAGATAGTTTTCGCAGCCGGTGCTGGAATTGTGCTTACAGCTACATTACCTGCAATACAAGCACCGCTCCCAGAATCTGACGTCGCGACTGCGACTGCAACATGGGGATTTATTCAAAGTTTGGGATTTGTTTGTGGTGTCGCCATACCTTCCAGCATCTTCGAAGCTAAATTTAGAAGTATGATTTACACCATTGATGACGATAGTTTGAAGAAGATGTTCAGAGCTGGAGGTGCTTATGAGCATGCTTCGAAGGCATTTATCACATCTTTGTCAGAGGAGTTGCAAACGCAAGTTGTGAAACTATTTGTGGTCAGCTTGAAGCTTGTGTGGGAGGTTGGATTGGCATTTGCTATCTTTGGATTACTCGCATCTTTTTTTGTGCAAGATATTGAGCTGAGGAGTAACCTGGAGACAGATTTTGGATACGGAGGAGAGACTGAAGCTACCAAAACTGAAAAGTCTCCAGCTGATCTTCTGCAATTGTAAGCTAATGTAGACCTTTAGTGTGTGGCTCATTTTTGTGTTGGAATGGGAGAAACCTGAGGTCTAGGATTTGTTTTACTTATTTTGTATGTGAGGGAAGAAGATACTTATGTGACAAGTTCAAAGAACATGGAGCGAAGCCTTATTCCTGTGGAAATCAAAGGCCAGAGGTTTGATCAAGATCAATGTCGCCTAGTATTTATTTTTAGAGATGGATTGAGACGTGCAACAAAAGAGACAGAATGTATCTCTCGCATGATAATTTTGAATAATATGGTATTCCAGACGGGTCGTTTATCATGCTACGGCCATGCTGTGGAAACATTTATTAGAATTGACGCGCGGTTGAGGCTGATGAAAATTAGCTTGACTGCTGACTTACAGGCGGAAACCTGTAGATGTTCATTTAGGCAGTACCGATCCTCAGCCTGGTCTTTGAAGGAATGTCTGCATTAAATTCCGGTAGAGATATTAATATGAGGTAATAAATATGTCAGCCTTGTGGTCCGTCGGTGGTTCTTTGGGCCACAGGGCCCCTGCATTAATTCTGCCTTGATTAACGTCATGTTTTATTTTTGTACTGCGTACTATGTAAATTTTTAGCGCTTCTGCTTCTGGTTTCTTGGTGTCTATTGGGATTTGTACTGTTGAGCATCGACAGGTGAGATGGATATACACTGCCTGAATTGTTTTGGTAATGACTTTTGTTGCATGTCTAGTTTTAAAATTCTATTAATATAGTTTTTGAGAGTGGCTGTGATGTCCAAATCTCTGTACCTGTGGTCTTGTAGCATTTCATACTGTTGTGCCGTATCGATTGCTCAATGGCATGACATGTTGCTCGGATAGAGAGAACTCGGAGGTTCGCTTCTTAGGGTCATATATTCTTTGAGAAGCTCACGAGTATCTGTCGCAAACATAGGTTCATTAGGAAAGTTTCGAGGACCTTTGCGGTACAAAGCTTCACATTGCTAGGGATTACTTTCAACAACGAACTCAAGTCATCTACGTTTCCTCATCCCCTAAATCACCCCACCCTATTTACTATCCATCTTCCAATCTGTCCGGCCAAACCATGACTCTTAAATCACATCAATACCAATTGTAAAGATTTGTTGCACATCGTACATTGGGGCTCTAAAAATACCATTTTTACCTCACTTTCTCTTCAGTGAACGTGCCTTCCATCTTACTCTCGCTTAACCTTATCGACTTCTCCTCGTAAGATTGTTTTACAAGCGAATCTTATCGAAGCTAAATTTAGAGATGTTGTAACTAAGAATACAAAAAGTGTAGGATCATGCATATCATCAAATGTTCGAGAAGCCTCATGTTCGTTTCGATAAGCGCTGTGGTGGAGGTGACTAGGTGGAGGAGGGTGTTGATGAAAGTGGGGTGAACAGGCTTCAGGGTGAGGATTGTGGGGAACGGGGTTTCGATGAATCGATTAAAGGGGTGCGTCTGCTGTTGTTTATTTTTGGTATTTTGTAAGCACTTTAAAATAGTCACTTCACGGAGTGCAAATTTTGTGTAAAACTGATGTGCTGAGAAATTCTAGATGGCTGAATATTGTTCTTTTCAGATAACGTGACAGTCATGTGATATCTCGTGAACAAATTCATCTACCTTCCAGCACACTGTCCTATTGATCCAGCCACAACAGCACAGAAATTTGGATACTACATCTCTAGGCTATTCTAACACTTCGCCAGCAGATGAACCAAGACTGTGTTGAAGTAATATCCCCACTTTATTATTTACCAGTGTTCAAGACTGAGTGATCAGAGAAAAACTGTTGGGTGTCCAAACATGCTCTCGGCACGCAAGAGGGGATAACGGCAGGTTATTAGACCGATTACTACAGATTTTTGGGGGTTGATAAAGGCTGATTTTCGAGGTAACTCACCTTAGCCACAAATCTTCAGAGATATTGGTACATCCATTGTTAGGAGATATCATCATGTACCGGATGATTGGCGGATCGACATACAGCACAGTTAAATTTTTATAACGTTGAAAGCTGCTCATGGCTGATATATGGACAGCACAAGATCAATCATCTTGCTGCGATGTGCCAGGTTACAAAGGAACACAATGGAGTTCGGCTCACCAGACATTCTGTGCATTGCTCCAGTGGATGAAAGTTTACATAGTAATAAGTTCCTACGTGAAAGTCCATGTTCTCGAAATGACCAATTTATATGAAAAATGCACCTACTTGAGTACAATCCTTATTATCTAACCACAAAGATGCCTTCACAGGCGAGATTGACTTCAACACAGTGAATTTTCCCGTCACGTATTTGTCGTCTACGCGTTATCAATACGCACGCGAGAGGTCGAAGTACGCTAGTGTAACAAATCTCCAAAACTTGTTAATCTTTTGAAACAGTTTCCTAGATTTCCTGCCACAACTTCAGCAACCTGACCACACGGGTGATGCAAGTCTTGCACCCACTAAACGCATTTGTTTAACTTTCTTTATCTACAAGCTCATTATTTTAAAATTTATCTGCCAAAATCTGCGTCAAAATGAAAGATTCCAGCAAAGAAAAAGATAGAACCACGTCGTTGATGAAATGTGTTCTCCACATTATGCTTTCTCAAGCTTTGAATGACCCAGAGCCTCAAGCTTGGAAGAACATCATTGACAATCTCATCTGCATACACAACGGTATTTGCGAAGGCGACTTTCTGTTGATAATTGAACAAACGGTTGAGGTAAACGGATTTTGGGCATATTTTAGTCGGAAGATTGCTAAGAAACGCCTGCTAGGTCTAGATCCTTCTTCCATCTGGAAATCGGGAAGTACGCTGGAAAACTATGTACAGTAACATAGAACGCGAAAATTCACCTCTTGTTGGTATCAACTTGGTTGATAAGTGTAATAAGTACTTTAGTCTATTATGGTTGTATTCGTTCTTGATCATTATTATCTATGGGAAGCTAGTACTTAATATAGGGTGGCGCTAGCGCCACGCTAGCTAATACATTGCCATCTTTGATCACATGCCGATATTCCGACACCTCTATCCACCATTCATCCTGAATGTGACTATAATAGATATCGATCAAGTGAAACATGCGCTAAACATCCATACAAGTATCTGCTCCCCCCGCAGTCTGCTTTGGGCCCAAAATACTAAACAAAAAATATCAAAAGGTCTGAGCGCTTCCTTGAAGATCTAGTCGAAGTTGCTAACTTGACGAATCAATATGTGACGTCAGTTGAAAGTGGTTGGTTCCATCTACAAATTAACTTGTAATCATGCTAATTTCCCAGGAAATGGCTTGCAAGCAGATAAATTAGTTGGTTCATTGCACGACTTCCGTTAAATGAGAGCTAACTTGATTTAGATTCGTCAGGCAATTAGCTTGACCAAAGATCAGAATCGAAAGCTCGATAAAGAGTACCGACTTACTCAAGCCACTATGGGCGACGCATCGATTTCAAGCACTGTTCAAAATGAGTCAATCGAGAGTTGCGATTGCATTCATCGCTAGTAAACATAGACACTGATTAAACTTGGTTTTAGGCAAAGTCTCATGAAAACACTCTGCCCTCAACTTTAGCCACCCATCCTACAGACTCTCCAGAAGATTTCACACAGCCCTATGATGATGCACCTGCCTGGAAATCATACACAGCCTCGATTGGAAAAGTACCAGCCATTAGATGGCCATGACGGTGTAGAGAGAGAAGATACAAAGAGTACAAAAAGTGAAGCAGTAAAGGCTCGTGTTAAGGAATTAGAAGCCGAGCGAGATGCACAAAGGGAAAAAATAGCGAACCTTTCCAGGGAACTCCACAAGCAACGAAAAATTACTGCCACTCAGCAGGAAATACTTGAAAACTTGGTTAACGAAAATAAGCGACATTCTGGATTATTGAACTCTGTCCGTGAGTCTCTCAACGTCGCCAATCACCAAGTCTTAACAACAAAGAACATCCACAAGGATGGGGTTACAAGCTTTAAGGAAAGTATCAAGTTTCTTAAGAATGGTCGAATTGTAGTAAAAACTGTGGCTGACGAGCACACCATTGAGCTCAACAAACTCAGAAAACGTTTGCAGATCTTAGAAGAGCGTGACTTGGGCGCGGAAGATGATGTATAAAAACGAGCTTCTTGCCTTAGAGACCAGATCAATGGTGATAAATGAATTTGATTAGTGGGAGTTGTTAGGCTCTTCGAGGCATTAAATTAAAATCGATATGTAAAATTATTGTTCATCTGTTCACATTTCCATCATTTCATGATTCAATATCTTCTGATGCTAGATTGAGTTGAGCTATGCAGGTGAGAAAGGAGGACCCTAAAAATGAATTATTGCGGGGTAAGATCATCTGTCCTTGCTCCAACATTTACTTCCACGCGTTGTGCCATTTGGTAAGACGCGTCGGTCAATTCAAATCCAAATTCATTCAGAGGTGAATTTCTTTTTATTCTTTAATCAAACTATACTGTCATGCCACAACTAATTCCGTGATTCCTTGTAGGGACAACAACTGACGTGACTTCAACACTAGTCCACTACCCACAAAAATAATGGAGGACAAACTCGAGCGTTCACTAGTTGAAGAAGTAAAGCGACCTTCGTCTCACGCATATTCGAATAGAGAAAAAAATGTGATCGATTTGAATAAACTGGCAAGATCAAGCGTTATCCTTGACCAGTCTTCACTGCAAGTCAACTGGGACCCTGGCGTCTAAGTACTACATATCTTAGATGGATATTATGGCCCTGATCCCGCCGTTTGTGTACATGCGAAAGGTAAGATACATAGAAACAGGGTCGATAAAAGACTACAGTCTGAAGGTGTGGACGGAACAAGAACCCCGTGGGTTACTAGACGAAGAGCAATAAAATCTTCAGACGGACAAGAGAAAGAGAAGCAACAAGGGCTACCATGTCAGCAGTCGAATCACGACCAGGGCGGATGTTTTGGTAGTATATTAATCAATGCATTCGATGATGATGGAAACCCAGAAGAAGACCAAACGCCAAAGAGCGCCAGCGAACAGCACGTACCCCATCTGACGCCAGCTTCTCGGTAGATTTCGCGTCTTCCCCGCCAACGTATGGTGGTTCAGGAAGGATGATTGAGCTATCCCACGGTGCCGAAGTGGTCAGTCGTCAAGCCTAGAGCCCAATACCGATACCAAATGACTCAAGGACAGAGATATGCGTGCCTTCTGTAGACATCATGGATCGAATTATAAAAGTCGAAGATATGCTGGAGGAGCAGAAGTACCAAGTTCAATGGCTGGCGACGGAGCAAAGAGATAGGTTTGAAGGGTTAACTGAGGACCTGGACGAATCTAATCGCTTGAATAGAGATCTAGCCGCCAAAATGAGTCGCACTTTCAAAGAACAAAACGATTGGGAAAAAATCGTGAATGCGAGGCTTGACCACCAAGATTCTTCCATCAACGCAAAGATCCCGGATATGAAATTCTTGTTTGAATTGTTTCGGGACGACATCAAGGTTCTCAAAACTAAGAGGTCGGACAATGAGAGGCTTGAGAAGCAGCTAGCTCGTTCAGAGTCTCTTATCGAGGAACACACTACAGCATCGGCTATGCTTGTTGAAAAACAGAGGGGGATGATCTATACAATTAAGCAATTCGAAAAGTGCCGATTACAACAACGCGAAAGGGAAACTGAAGCTCCGAACGAGCAAAGTGCTCTGGACCGAATTGCAAAAGCGGAAGAAGTTACCAAGGAATTCGTCAAACAGTTGAGAAGTATAACTAGCCTGATAGACAACCCTGATGTGTCAAACAAACGAAGTGGCTCCAAAGATTTTCAAATGGATAGCCTTGTACAGTCTAATAAAATAATGATGATGCGTTTAGCAGCTTTGGAAGAGAAGAACGAGATGCATATTTTCAAAGTTGTGGAATTAGAAAGAAGAAACGAGAGGTTACAAACTGAAGAGAGGAGTTTGCGGTAGATTAATTCGGTTTATGTCTGGCGGACGAAATTGAGATAGATCAGACTCAATGGAGCTGAGAAAAAGGGTTCTTGCGTAATGTTACACTGTTGGGGTAGGGGTAACTTCACACCACTTTTTGAATTGCTGTTTGTCTTAAATTTATCCTTTACAAGGTGTTTTCCCACCACATATTTTCCCTTGCCCACTGATCACATCAGAATCAGAGTTGTTGATGATTGATTTAATTGCAAAATATGCAGTACAGAACGAATAAGGATTTCTGTGCATACAGGACATGTAGTCACCCACAGTTCTGAAACGCGAAAGGAATTGCGGGGTAATCATGATATTGAGTGTTTGCTTGATTGTTCTCGCGCTCTTTTCTCACGCGCTCAGGTTCTTCCTTACATCTACTTCCTCAATATACGCGCATATCAAAGGATCAATCTATTTCATTTATCTTCTAATTCCATCCTTTTACTGTACCATAAATGTTTGGTAATCCTCGGGCAAAGGAATCGAAGGTACGTCACAGGAACGCTCGAAGAGTGCGTCTCCGATATTCACCACGAGATAAAAACATGCAATCATTGGGTAAATTTTCTATGGTATTCTCTTGCCCCTATAATATGGCGGCTATCTTACAAATATTAGGAGAAGTGACGCACAAAGACAAACTCCGCGAGGTCGACTCTGGTTCACCCATACGCTTTTCGAGTTCGTCGGCGAGTCCTGTACCACTGTCTTCAGGGCAGAATGATGACCTACAAGGAATGAGCCGATCTTCAAGGGCAATAGTACATGGATCTTGTTTAGTGAAAGGTGTAAGTAACGTGTATTCTCTGAAACGACTGTTTATTTTGGTTATGCAATAACGGTTCTGACTTTTCAAGGCCCCATCTTGCGACAAAGCGAAGGCTAAATTTGACGAACTCGGGAGGTACTTTCCGAGTGATTTGCCGTATATCATCACATACGAGAATGGATCTCTGGAAGCCATATGTCAGGAATGTAGTCGCAGATTAAAAATCGAGGGTTCTGCACTTGGTGGTATTATAAAACACGCGACCGGCACTCCACATGGTTTCAACGTCAAACAAAGACTAGATTCAAACAATTTGGAGGAGACATTAACCTCCAAAGTTATGACTCGAAGGAAGGCTATGGAAATTCAATCTGAGCCAAATCCCTTTAGAGAAGTCCCAACCCGGCGGAGATATGAGAACATAGAGCCATGGGAATTTTCGTCTATTGAAGTTGATCCTGCTAGACCTGTCGATCATTCTGAACCTGAGCCAAGAAAATCGAAACGTCAAAAAGTAGCAGCTGCGTTCCTCGCTGAAACCGATACAAGTGATCTTCAAGTCAGTACAGGCTTGAAGAATCCTGTAGGTAGGCCTCGAGGATGGAAAAAAAACAAAGAATCTTCTTCGATATCAAAACTTCTTCTCCGGTGTTAGAACCTATTGTCGCAGATATATCTGAAAGACTTACGGACATAAATCACCAATTCGATCAAAAAATAAAGAAACAACGAGATCAGACATTGCTTTTCAATGCGGACCTAATCGGGCTGAGAAATTTCCATGGCAAGAGGCTAGACACCCTAGAACAAATTTCGGAGAAGCAAAAACACGAACTCAAAGTATGCAATGAAAATTTCAGGGAATCGAAAGCACAAACTGATGCCTCTTTACAAAAAGACAAGATCAGCTTGGCGAATATTGAGAGTGAACTTGAGGAGCAAAAAGGATGCATCAACAATACAATCAACCTTGTGTCGGATACGAAATGTAAAGTGGATGGTCAGAAGAAAGTCATGGATAATCTGGCTGACCTCTTTCCCGATTTGAAGAGCGAGCTGAAGGAGCAGAAGCAATTCGTCAACAGTCTGGCTTCAAAGTTGGAAAGTGGCCTAAAGGGACAAAAGGAAACCACCACGAATTTGGCTGAGTTGATGGACAATAGGCTGACTGGACAAAAGCGAAAGGTTGACCACCTGATGACACAATTGAAGAACTTGGGTGACAGCAGAGAATCCGAAGACTTATTACGGTTGCACACCGAGAACGAGCTCCAAACCCACCAGAAGCAGATTGAGAAAGTGGAGAATTCTATTGAAGAAATCAACAAAGGATTGGATCGAGTTGTTGGCCGTACTGTAGAAAAGTGCAACAGATTGGAGGAGATGGTTAAGGAAGTCGACAAGAGGCACTCATCTCAACGCGACTCATTCTTAGAAGCGCTTGAAACAAAGATATCCTGTACTTCTCAAGCCTCCATTGATCGAATTATAGACTTTCTAGCTGTGGAGCCCCAGTTGCAGCGTTGCAAACAATACGCCGAGCTCCTTGAAAAGCAAGCAGTCGATTTTCGACCCTATATGGGCCGGATTGTTCTATTGGAAGATAAAATTTCTGATTTCAGGACCTTCAAAGACAAACTTGACAGTTTGGAAACGTGTACCCGTGGCTTTCAAAAGTGGTTGGATGAAATGGCTTGTGAGTCAGCAGAGTACCGGTTGCAACAAGACCATTTAAGCACTGGGTTTCTTGAGAGACAAGCGCTAGAATCTCAGAATTTCATGGAGCGAATTGTGAACTTGGAAAAGAATACAACAGATATAACGCGTCTAGTGGAAGAAAACAAAGTGTCTGGAGAACCTATGCGAAAATTTATGTTAAATTTTCGGTCTACATCCGATCAAATCACCCAGTTGAGAAAAGAAGTCCAGAGTTATGACAGCAAGCTCGGGGCGGTATCTATGGCTTTAGACAATCGCCAGTTACAACAATTGAAAGAGCATACAGAGCTCATCGAAGAGAAAATGTCCCACACTCAAACAGATTTCAATAATATGGTCACAAAATTTATGGCAGAGTTGTCAGATTTCGCTGTTCAAGCAGCCAGATCTGAGATGATTGAGAAAATCGGATCAAGGGATCATCAAATTGATGATCTGGTACAATCTATCAGACCGATAATGCTTCGTCTAGCAGGCTTGGAGAGCACTGAGAAGCAGTCTGATGAAATGGTAATGGTGCGTCTGGCAGCTCTGGAGAAGAATGAGAAACAGTCTGATAACATGACGATGATACGGCTGGCAGCGTTAGAGGAAAAGAACGAGAGGCACGTTTCTAGGATCTTGGAGTTAGAGCGAGGAAATGAGAGCTTGCAAAGAGAAGTAATGAAGTTACAGCAGCCTGTTGTGGAGTAATTTTGGGAAAGGGGTTCGGAGTGTGCATAAATAGTGTGTCTATCTTCTGTAATAACCTGCGACTGTTTAGAAGAATGGGCAGGCCAAGAATTTTAAGTCATCCATTCTCAGCTGTAATAATGATCAACAAGTCTGAACTACTTCACCTGTACACTTTACCCGGCTGCAAAGTGACATGAGTTAACCATTTTACACGTGCTATCATAAATCTTTGAGATTTTTCACATACTAAGAACGGGCTCAAAGTTCCCACAAGTGACGCGTGTAGGTTAAATCTTGCGGATGAGTGCATGCGCCGCCCTTGACGCATGGTTTAAGTAGCCAATGAATTAAATGATTTAGATTTAGATTATTGTGGTAATGCCGGGCGATTGCTTTCTGCCCAGTTTCGCATTGGACGTGGCCGAGTTGTTTTCTCGACTATTCGAGTGAAAACGAGAATTGGGCAGGGTTTATGGGCTCATGCATACATACAAAGGCCTTTTGCACACTTTTTTTTTGTGCTAAAAAGGAAGTGATGCGTCAAAACAAACTTTTGTTTGCCCAAGGTAACACTAGGCACTTGCTTATGGTTTATCCATCCGCTGAACGCGTCACGCCTATTTTCCGGATGTTTTTCCTAGTAGTGAATCGTTTTGAAGTCAAATATAAACCAACTCCGCTCGCTTCCCTCGATCTCTATTCAGCTATCACTTCACTAATCCTTCATATCTGAGTGCCCAGCACGATGAAACGACCTTACAGCACTGGCCTACCCTTCCCTCGGGCTGCTCCGGTTTCTCGGGCTAAAAGGGCTGATAGCTTATATTCTTCTGACGGAGAAATTGCAATCGACGCACGACGCTCTGACATGACTTTCAAATCTGGTCTCTCGGACAAGACTATCTCCGTTAACATACAGAGGGCACAAACGGCATGCGAGCTCTGTAGGAAGCAAAAGAAACGTTGTACCCATGTCGGTGACGCAAAGTTGAGTATGCATATGCCCTTGTGTTGTGTATTCAACTGAAGACTGAGTAACAATGGCTAGGGGTGTTAAATCAAGAACAAACGACTCATACCTATAACCAAAATACCAGTATCCGTAGTTCTGAGCTTGGAAAGGATATCATCGAAGTTGATAATAATTCTATTCCATCATCTGCAGCCTCGTCGAGTGCCAAACTAAATTCTGGTCTGCAACAGAGTACACAAGAAAGATCCGCTTTACAAGAGCACACGAAAAGTCTTAGGGGCATGGACGCATCTTCGAAGCTCATTGTTGATCAATCATGCATGACACCAGGCGTAAGTGAAATGTTTGCCCATGAGCCGCTGTTTACGCAATCACAAACCTGATGATTTTAGGTCCCGAATTTGGAAAGGGTCAGGGCTAAGGTCGAGAGTCTAGGGATTGATTATCCTGACGACCTACCATACATCCTCAAGTATGAACTCCGAACTCTGAACCTGAGATGTCAAGAATGTCTCTGCGATATAAATCTTCGTGGGGGCGTTGGAAACATCGGAAAGCACGCGTATAGTCTACACCATGCACATTACGTCGAGCTCAGGCTAAGAGACCTAGAAGAGGAAGGTTTCCAGAGGACATTAAATCAAAAGGTTAGGGAACGGACAGCGCACTTGGATAGTCGGGGAAAATGGAGAAGAGAGATCTCAACACAGAAGCGTTCGGAATCTACTCTGTGCAGCGACCTCGAAGATGAATCAGATTCGGAGTATGGGCAATTTCAGTCAAAGCGTCCACGGGTAACAGACACCTTCTCTACCAAGTTGGCTTCTGATGATCTTCATTCTGATGTCAGAAGATCAAACAAAGCTTTGATGCGATTCCAAGTCGATAGATTAGAGGACGAGATTGACAAGGTAGAAAAAAAAAGGATTTCCCCTCATCAGAGGGCACTTGAGAAGATAAGTAACTCGAAAAAGGAGCTTCAAGAAGTCAAGGTGTCTCAGTCTCAGTCGCAACCGCACACTGATCGAGTTGCTACATTGCAAGAAGAGGTCGATACCCTCAGGGCAGAAGTCTCCAATCTGGCTGGTCTTGTCGAAACTCATGAGCTACCTACCAGTCACGGTAGCACTGCTAACGACGCCGCCCTCATCGAGGATCTGAAGAAGTCCAAGGGGACGATTATGAAGCGCCTGGCTACCTCTGAGGAACGATTGGCTGCTTTGGAGGAACAGAACGACAGACTCATTTCTAAGATCAAGGAACTAGAAAGAAGATAAGAGGCGGCATGAGAAAGTATGATTGATGAGCTTGAGACAGATGATTGCACGGATTTCTTTTAATGGGCGGTTGAAAAAAAAGGAAAGGGCGGGGGGAGGGGGGGAGAAGTGAGTTTAAGCGCTAGGAAGATTTCAACTCGTGTGTAGAATAGATTGCTCTTGGGGTGCGTCGCGACTAGCTTATTGCACCAATATTGACGTGTCTGAAGCAATTCGTACTACGTTCATCTCATCACATCTTGCTAGAGCGACTAGTGTAACTCAAATAAAATTCTTGTTCACATAGATCGCATCAGTTGTGGTCATGCTCAATCTTTTTTGCTTCTCTCATAAGGCTCTGGAAGATGTACTTTTACACCTTTCCTTCATAATCTCTCTTCCAAATGGTATCCCAGACTCCCTTGTCCACCGCAAATTCTCTAACATAATCATGCTCCAACTCATGCGTCCTCCTTCCAAGCAACACCAAACTGTGCAAGGGACCTCCCAATTGCTCATCGGCGTCACACAATTGTTTTAATGTCCCACTTACAAATTTCTCATCCTTACAGCCTACTCGAGCAGCACCCACACAGAGACTTTCCTCGTTATAAACCCCTCCCTCTCCATTCTCTGTCTTAAGCTCTTCAATTTCCAACATCTGCGACGCGCACTGTCCTACAGTCATGTATCTCGGTGGCTCGTATATCTTTCTTCCTCTCGCCATATTCTCCATAGTTTGCTCCTTGACCTTGATGTCCAACAATACCAATGTGTGTAAGCCGATATTCCTGTTCTCTCTAATACGATCGTAGAATGAGGCAGGCTTCCAGTTCTCAGTGAAGAAAACCATTGAGACAGTTTGGCCAAAATTGTAAAGTTGGAGACCGGTAGCACCAATCGCGGACATGATGGAGGCATTAGGAATGGTAGAGATTGGAATGTTTAAGGAACGAGCGCGGAGGACAAGATCGGTATGGGTGGTAGCACTAAACCTGTGTCAACATATAACCTTCGAAATATGAGGAAACTATCATGTAGAACGAACCCAAAAGGATCTCCCACAACCAAAAATGCAACATCTACATTTTGCGCATCTTCCAAGATATCGTCACTAGCACTCTCTACCATATCTCTATCTGCAATAATCACTTCTCGTCCATAGTAACTTTCCTATGTCTACATCAGTCAGCGCCTTACTTCCCCGGGTTTAGAAAAAGACTTACAAGAACTGTTTTATCCACCAGCAAAATACTGGTGTAGGCTTCAAGGTATACGCGAGCGCATTTCTTGACAGCCTCGAGTCCTTTGACAGTAATATCTGTCTCGTCAGAGAGACCAAGTCCAATAAGGTAAAGCATCTTTGTTGTCTTGTGTACTGTGGAAACAATTGAGTGAGGGGTTCGAACAAGAGTTCAAGAAAATTAATTTGCCCCGCACATTTGCTCATACTTCCATCATTCACCGCCCGGACCTTGAGAAAGGCAAAATCGCAGCCTTCCTCAACCTTGCATAGAAAATCATTTGCGACAACAATCGATCAACACTCCATACATACTTCCGAAGACGAATTGAAAGCCCTACGTAAAATTGGAGATCACACTATACCTCTCATCGTCAACTACAATCCCAAAATCGCGACAATGTCCTCCAAAAAAGGCGCCTACGAAACTAATGCCTCGGACACTGATTTCCGCAAAAAATACGACCGCGAAGCCAATGTAGCCAAAGCACGCGAACAAGAAGCCAAAGAAAAAGAAGAAGGGCGTCTACGATATGAAGCCAAGCTTGCCGGCAAGAAATACTACGCGCCTCTTACTGGCGATGAAACTCTCACATCTGCGCGCGCAAACCGTCTCGATGTATCTGCCAATGTAGGGAAAACTATATTAATGCCTGCGGGGGCAGCGACAGGCAAGAGAGGAAAGGGTGCGGGATTTTACTGTCAGGCTTGTGACTTGACTTTCAAGGATAGTTTGCAATGGGTGGAACATGAGAATAGTATGCAGCATTTGCGGGCGATAGGACAGACGGGAGAGGTTCAGAGAGCGAGTGTGGAGGATGTGAGGAGGAGGATTGATGAGATTTGGGAAAGGCTAGAGAGGGAGAAACATGAGGAGGTTGTTACTTTGGGAGAGAGATTGGAAGGGAGAAGGATTGAGGATGAAAAGGAAAGAGAGGAAAGGAGGCAGAAGAGGAGAGAATTAGCTGAGAGAAAGAAGGAGGAAAAGGACAAGGAAATTGCGGTCAAGAAGGAATACGGCGAAGATGTTAGAGTGGAGGGCGAACATGATGAAGACGACATGATGGCTAGTATGGGGATCGTCGGATTTGGATCATCGAAAAAGTGAAGATATATTGTTTGCATATGGGATTTAGCGACGGTGTTCAGGATGGAGTACATTAAATCATACAGATTGTATACTTGGGTTTTGCATAGGTCAATATATTATAATTACTACCGATTTGGCCTGTTGATTGCCGTTACTCCTTTATATTTGTGCCCGCCACATGGTTCGGACTACCATTAGAAGGGCCATGTCCATCTTGTACACCATTTTGGTAAGATATCTGCTTGTTAAGCCAATCCCTGAACTTTTTCCTCCTAGACAATTTTACCGGCGAATCGTCTACTTCAGTCTCGTCACCACTCTGCATTTCATCTGACAAATCAATATCCGGAGCCCATCTTTCCTCATCTCCACAGACAACCACATACCAATTGCACACTTCCTCTGCTTCCAAGTTCTGCCTCAATTTATCAAGCCACCCTGCTTTTTCGTTCCTCTTCTTGATTTCTTCTGGAGTCATTCCCAATTCCTCGCAGTTAGGAGGAACACGTTCTGCTTCTGCTACATTGGCTTTATACTTCTCCACCTCTTCGCATATATTAACACCCAACCCAATTTCAACCATATGATCTGACACATAGGCCCACGGTTGACTGGCCGTTTTCAAATCCTCTGGATCATATTGTTCGACCAATTTGATCGCACTCCAATCATTGAATCGCAATGGTTTTTCCAGTCCATTATGCGACTGTTCTCTCGAAATCGCATTTGTAGCTCCAGATGCTGATCTACTATGTAAAGTTTCCGAACCCGAATTACTAGCATTGTTCTGTCCATTCGAGTTCCCTTTCCTCAATGTTAAGCTGGACCTCTTCATGTGAGGTGACTTTAAGGAGATCATGGAATTTTTGTTCTTCTTCGTGAGGGTTTTTGGGGATTGCGGCTTGGGAGTTGTGCATTCTGTGGGGGGACTGGGAGTAGGTGCAATATCAATGGGACCCGGACTGCTTGGTGGAAGAAAATCGAATTGTTTGTAAAAGGAATTGAGGAGAGCATTCGAGGTCAAGGGCGCCATTAACCATTCTGGAGCTGCATCTTCGATATCATTTAGAATCACATAAATACGTATATTCTCTCTTTTCCAACGGAAACCATGGAGGAGATAGGTAGGCATATTTGTGTGATGGCGATGGTGAGGATGTTAGATATGTTGATGTTGGGGACACACCAGAAGGATGTCAGCTTTTAAATATCATATCTGATGCTTTAGGAAGTAACTTCTCTGGGAATATTGGTAAAATGTTAGGAAATTGCGATTGGCAATGGCGGCTGCGAAAAGAGTTACGAGGCTATCTTTTCCGGGGTTCACTAGAGCCGATGTCTGTGCGACAGTGATGTTGGTGATGTTGGTGCTAACTTCAAAGCTCGACTTCAAGCTTCTTTGAGTGAAACATCCCCAACTGCTTTCGCTCATCGAATAATTGTATTTCTGAATCACTTCCTCAACGAGTGGTGGTATATGAACAGCCCTTGAGTCTGGGGAAGTCTGGGTCAGCCCCGAGTATACCGTCGTGATTTCTGGCTTCAATGAAGGATTGCATTTGCCTCGGTGGCGTTCAAATTTGGCTGTAAACTCTTCTAATAAGTCCAAGACTCTTCGTTTTCAGTGCGATCTCGAAGATGATTCGTATCTTGAAGCCCTAATTAGTTCCAGGTATTAAGTTGTTTCATTCTACCCTGCCCTTTCCATGGTCCTTTTCAGATGTTGAACCTCCAATCCTTCCTGGAGATGCTAACCGCGCCAATAATTATCGAGGATTTCTGTATCCTTGTCGTGTTCATACACCGAGAGAATGATCTTGTTGTGTAGATGGGATATTATGACTTAGCATCTTTTGATGAACGTCGAAAGCCTTCATGGTGAATACTAAAATGAGGCTGTGAATATCTTCACTCTCATCCGATGAAGAGCTCGGTAGTTTCCGAGTCTGTGTAAACAAACAAATCTCAAGATTTCGCGGAAGAACTCCTTTTGAAGACGAGTGTACCTTCATCACAAAAACTTTCACGAAATAGTTTTGTGCATTCTCTTTTCAATTTGATTCCAATTTTCTGCAATATCTCTGATCGCAACACAAAGCAAAGATCATACAGAGGCTCAAGCATACCACACCACTGCTTTTCCACCCCGCATTCTCACATTATACACCATGCCTCCCGGTATCATTCCAGATGGCATGGTACAAGATCTTCTCGATTTTATCCGCGAAGCAGTTCCTGTTATCTATGAAGCAAGCATTGAACTGTTGGCATTAATCTTCGAAAACGACCCTGCTACATCAGATGTAGCTAATTCTCATGGCCGCTGGATACACATCAATCTTATGCGACAACTCTTGCCATTAGGAGACGAAGAGAGACAAGAATGGATAATTGAGCTATTCAGCGGCAAGAAATACACTGTAGAATCCTTCGCGGAGACAATGATCAAAGTGAGTTGGATCAATCCTAGCGGGACAGGTATGATTCTTACAACAATAGAGCGGAATCTGGACAGAATCCGAAGACGAGAATGGATTTACTTTCTATTCCATGAATCGACAAAAAGAAGTGAATTTTCGCAAATGGCTTTTACAACCTAGAATCCAGGAGATTTATAACGGTGAAGTAAAGGAATGCCTGCCTCTGATTGCGAAGAAAAGCGTGGAGGGATCCGATTACGTACCAAAGAAAGGTCCCAAGTGTAAGTAACCGTGCTATTTCTGTATTTAACCAACATACTGACAGACTCCATCAGCGAAATACAAAATCATCACTCCAGATTGGCAAAAGGAATTCATCGAAACCAAGAATCAGCTCGCACAATCCCAATCCCTCGTTGAAAGCCTACAAGAAACGGTACAAATAGCGAATAACATCATAGATAAACAAGGCACCGTCATCGATGATACAAGGCAGCAATTGAAAGTGGCACGTACGGCTAATGCAAGGTCAGAAAAAGTGTGGATGAAGAGATATAAGAAGTTCTTCAAACGTTCTTGGAACTAGGTAATTTTGAGGGAATGTGATTTGTGGGGGGATGGAGTTATGGAAGTACAGGTTGTGTCGGAATGAGAGTTTTGGGGTATGTTTTGGGGACTTAGGTCAGAGTCTTTGAATATTTGTCAGGACCACCATTGTTTGTTAAACATATCGATGTGCAACAGTTCGTTTAAATAGTATTCTAGATTGATTGAAAGGTTTTGGAAGATTCTAGGGTGGTCCAGAAGTGCGAAGTAGCCTGGAGCTAAGGAGAACTAGAGGAAAGAACTAGAGAGAGCTAGAGATAGACTTTCTTCTATTGAAAGACTTGTTAGGGGCTCCCTTGTAATTTTAAGATGCAGACGTGCAACACAACTTTCCTATTATTGTAAATAGATGATATTTGTGATGGGGGTGATCATAAAGGGCTTGTTTACATACTATTTCCTAGGGTAGTAGCTACTTCTTTTTCGATTGCTGGCTTACAGTACCTACTTATCAGGAGAGTAGTAGCAGATTCTCAATCGAATCGGTCTATTTATACCTTATCATGATATACCTTCATGATTTTTTACTTAAAGAGTTCTGAACGATAAACTTCTGCCGTTTTTCATTTAATCTGATGTCAGTCCAACTTTATCAATATATGATTATTCATTCTTTCATACCTATTCTTATCCTTATAGTATTTCAACATGATTACAAAGTCTGTTAATACACACTGCACGATCCCTTGCTTCCAAATCATACACACTGCTATTCCATTCTAAATACGGATCCCAAATGACATGGAACTTCGGCTAAGCACACAAAACGACGCTACTATCGGGAAACTTTCGAGTCGCATCTTAAAAAATCTAATATGCCCTCAGTATCATTAAACTGCCTTTTTCGTATACGATTCTAGATCTCAAATATGGATCCTTACTATAATGAGTATTGCCTTAAACTCGATTAGAACTCTATTTTACTCATATATTTCGGAAACTCTCGTTTAAATACGTCAAGCGAGATCTAAATAAATCACATATATAAACTCAACATGATACCTAGGTAATTCTATCATACTCAATTCCTCTCGATCGGTATCTAAACCAAAAATAACCTTCGTCAATCCTCCTCAAGAACTTCAATTCTAGTTATTAGGATTACTTGAAAATACTGTCACGTACTCATAAATCTAGAGGAACTATTACACGTCTAGATAAATCGAGCGTTTACACATCGATTCTTATGTAAATAAATAAAATTAGAGAGAATCTAGTTTATGTTTTCCATCCTCTCTTATTCCCTATAGGTATTCAAGAGGCTGCAAAATAATCATACAAGATAAGATTACTACGACCGATTCGCCAAACCAATGAAATGATTCTATATTTACTTCAAAATCCCTAGCTACTGTATGATAAATACATATGCACATAGTAAAATTACGTATAGACTAAACAAATACGATAAATCTCCAAACAATTACCAGCAATCGAACCACACTAAAGACATTCACACCAAAATTACTTAATACCAACCATCACGATGTATATTCAAATCCCAACCAAACTAATCAAATACACCTGGTGCACCACCTCATCCATCTATTCTTCTCTTTTCTCTCCCCCTCCTCGTCTAGTATTCTCATCAGACCAAGCTCAACTCCCGAAAGAGGTTCTCTGAGAAATCAAGAGACGTAGCTGATGAGTACTCGCTGAGTGAGAATTTCTCGTATTACTAACTAATGTTTCTCCTACTCTCGCGTAAGTTCAATATTTTCGATCAAGATTTTAGACTCCTCTATAATATACTCATTGATATGTATGTATATATACTTTCGATATGTCATGTATCTCTATTATATATCTATGAGTATTTAATTTAAGAAGGAGAAATTAGTAGATACTCTAGTAACCAGCTATAATACAGAGTTTTCACAGGGTGTTTTATCTATAGAAGATGCTACTCTCTACCAACAAAATTTACCCCCCTGCTCAAGGAACCTCAACACATGTTATAATTTTCAAACATGTATAAATATCCTACTCGATACTCTCAATAGGATCTAAAATAACACCGTAATGATAAATTGGATATCTAGTATGTTTTAAATGAATTCTGATGAATGAGCGTCTCTATCGATATTTAATAAAATATGCCAAGACGTTTCGTTTCTCTTTTACTTTAAATTCTCGAGATAAAAAATTGAGATAAAATTATATACCTAGTTGTAGTCTAATCACACGAAGTGAATCAACATTAATATCTCATCTCAGTACCTAATTCCTCCCTTCCCAAGAAAAAGCTGGAAGAAAAGAAACGATACATAACCTAACCCTCAAAACTCAAACCTCAAACCTCGTTCAGACGGAGACGCTTCAGATATCGATAAAAATATCATTCGAGATAGATAGATATATAATCAGGGAAACACACTACAGACCACGATACTCAAAGTATATACACAAATTCAGGTTCAAATGAAGCTTACTAGCAACTACATCTAGCACAACAATTAAAACACAAACGCAATTTCTTCCTCATCACCGATTCTCGCGTCCCTTTCAACTTCCCTTTCCGACTCTCAGATCTCTACTTCGTATATCCTCACCACATCACACATCACGTTCGAAATCCTCCTACCATAATCATAATCCGTAGCCGTAGCCGCAGCCTGCAAAGACGATGTATTTGCGACGATTAAGTGCTATCGATATTAATACCCACATGGATATGAATCAAGGAACCAAAACACACGCTCACAATACCAAGACCCAAAAATAATAAAAACAGAAAAACAAATCAAATAGACAGCGAAGAACAAGGTAAGTTCCCCCTCCTCCCCAAAGAAGAAATCGCATTCTCTGGGTATTGTGGGCTCTTGATATCATGACGTCATAGTATCATAGTATCATATCAAATTCTTCAACTTTATGAAAAAAGAACTCGGTATCCTGTGATTCATATGCCTTCTTCTTCTTCTTCTTCTTCTTCTTCTTCTTCTTCTTCTTCTTCTTCTTCTTCTTCTTCTTCTTCTTCTTCTTCTTCTTCTTCTTCTTCTTCTTCTTCTTCTTCTTCTTCTTCTTCTTCTTCTTCTTCTTCTTCTTCTTCTTCTTCTTCTTCTTCTTCTTCTTCTTCTTCTTCTTCTTCTTTTTTTCAGAAATACATTCTGTTGTGCATCCTCATCTTGATTCCCGAGGTTAACAAGAATAGTTTAAGGAAGTGAGGAAGGAATCAAGAGAGTGCGGAAATAAGATGGAGAAGTCAAAAGTAATAAATAATAAGAGAAGAAGCAGTCAAGGAAACGGAAAAGTGTAGCTGTAAATACGAGTATCGGTAGAGAGAACATCGAAAGCTCGGTATGAGGAATAAATGGATGAATAAATAAATGAATGATAGAAGTTGAATCTTCGAAAAGCTGGGAAACGTATGAGAAGCGTAGAAGATTACAATCTCCATAATCTTCATGAAAGCCACTATCCCAACCACGGAATGAAAAATAGAGAGGTTCAAATCGTGGGATAATCTGATAATCGCAATTTTTCTCGTGGTGGGCTTAAGTCCTAGACGAGGGTGAGTTTCCAGCTGACGTCTAACCCTCAAATTGTATGTTAAAAGTTCACGAATCCTCGTTTAGCTTCGTTTCGTTTCGTTTCGCTTCGTTTCGATACAAGACCAAAAGCAAAAAATTTCAATCACCCGATATATCTGGTTAAAGTCCAGCCGACGCATTCCCCGGCACATCTTCAATCGCGCACTCGGATTCCGAATCGGAATCTAGGGGGTAGAATACGTTTATGAATGCATCTGCTGCTATTCGGCGAGTTAGCACTTTAATTCTCAATCTTTCTATTTTACTCTACTTTTCCTTTCATCCACTAAAGAGTATCTTTGATTCTTTTTATGAAAATTGAAGGAAAAATACAAACAAAAAGGTTACATAAAATAGCCACAAGAGAAAAGAAACCCGAAACCTACCAGCTCCATGCACAAAATTCAATTCAAACTCCCCATGTTTCTTCACCTGCGCGCGTCTCGAATACTCGTCGCAGAAAACATAGAGATGTAAATCTTTGACCCAAACGCGATGACGCGAATGTCGGGCGAGCCAGGTATCGGATGTGACTTGGAGGTCGGTTACTAGTGTTTTTGTTTAGCGAATGTTGGGAGCGAGGTGGGAGGTTACGCGGAAAAGAATTTAGGGAAATTGAGAGGATGTGGGAAAGGGAAAGAAGAAAACCCATACTAAAAGCAGTCCAGACAGGACATTTTCTCAATTCTCCATTTGCGACTGCGGCGTGAAGTCGTAGGGTATGGGTGTGTTGATTTTCGTAGACGAAGAGAGAGTGGTGAAATCCATCGTCTACTATTTGTCTATTTTTATCAATTTATTAGTAAGATGCTTTGTTCATACCCGACAACTCATATTTTCAGTCCAAGTTCCGCATCTCTACCTTCCCAGAAAAAACTAATTACCTACCCTTGGAAAATCTTTACCTCTCCGGCAATGATATAATCATCTCTTGGTATCAGATTTGTGAGTTGGGAACGCGCTTTCAGTGCTACGAATGAGCAGTGAAAGAGCACCATTCCTATATTGCAACGTCAATTTTTTGTCCATCGTATCTCATACTTCTATTCTCCATTCAATTTGAAAACAAGTTAATAAGAAATACTAACGTTGCCAAGTCCTTTCACAAATCAGTCAGCACATTCTCTTCAAATCCTATTCCCCTTTACTTCCCCTCATAATCGCTTCCCTTCCAAACCCTCAGCCGAGAAAAGCATCACTTACTTGAAAAATAAAGCCATCCAAATAGTCGGATGTTCTTTATACTCACTCCATCTCTTAAAACACAACGCACTTCCATGTCTCCGAACACATAGCTCATGAACCCCAAAAGAAGAATAATGAGGATTATTTTGTTTATCCATCCAGCGACAGAGTAAATAGGGAGATTGATGAAGTGCTGTATCGTCGAGATAGAGTGTTACGGAGAGATGATTTTTGTCAAAGGGTCTGAATAGTTAGTGAGACTATTGGTAATAAGGGGGTAAAGAAATAGTGAAGGAGAGAAAATATATCAGAGAGTAGAGGAAATATAAGACTCACAATTTGAATAGAACTTTTGACTGCGGAGGGATACCCAACTTCATAAGATTCATCGATGGACCAAAACACCTCGATCTATATCCATACTATCAGTTAATCATTGTAATTCCCATGAATACCTCCTCTTCCCCAATATCAAACTTCACACTCCTTCTCTAATCCCTCTATCCAATCCCAAAATATCAAATCAAACAAAAAAAAGACAAACATACTCTCGTCTATGTTTCAAAAGTGCCTGCGAAAGCGGTTGCGCATGATCATCAAAGATCTTTTCCGCCCAGTGCCGTCGCTAAACATCATTAACATCCAACATCTTTACTTGCCTACAATTCTTCCCAAACCCTCGCTTCTCTTTCCCAGACACTGATTTCCAAGCAGCAAATTTCAAACCAATATACCGAGAATTCGCTTACATACCTCAATTTCCATCAGATTCGGTTGTGCGGGAGCGAGATGTGGTTGTATCGGGATTGGCGGTGCTATAAACGCAGATTCTGGGGTTAATCGATACAGATTCTCCATTTAAGCACACATTTACTCGACGAGAGGATCAACAAGAGATGGGACGAGCAAAACCCATCGAGAAACCCCCAAACCAAAGAGCGAAAAAAAACATACCAGGAATCCCCCTCAAAGCCCTCAGCCTTAAAATTCTCAAGCGCAGCAATTCCAGCGTCGTGGGATCGTAAGTTGGTGATCTATGTGCTGACCGCTGTTACCACCATCCAATCAAGTTCTTCCCATCCCACTCCTCTCCCACATCTCACCGGGTGAAATCTAGAACTCGAACTAAATCTCGCACTGCTCCAAAGGATCCGATCTGTTCCGTTCCCCTCAAATAATAAACCGAGGAGAAAAGAAAAAAATCCTTTCACTCACCTACTCAGCAATCTCACACACTGCACCAAAAAATCCACATACATCACAAACCGCAACGCCAGCGTCATCCCCCCCTGTTCATTCAAGCGTTCATGCATCAACATCCATTTCATTCTGACGGACCAATCATCACACAGCAGAAACGCCAGCATATCCCGGAGCGTCTTTTGCAAACACGGTAGGATGACGGTCAAATAATAAATCACGACGGGAACGCGCAATCGAAAGATCGGGAAGAGATCGTGCAAGTCGCGGAGGAGCCGCGACGTTTGTTCGACGTGTCGGAGAATCGCAGTGATGATTTCATTGTCGCCGATGTCGGGGGAATTGAGGTGGGAATCGGATAGTGAGGGGGAATGGGGATGAGAGGAGGAGGGGGAGAAAAGTGCGACGGAGGAGGAGGTTAGATGGGTGCGGATTTTGAGGAGTTCGATTGCGACGGCGTCGGCGCGGGCGGCTTCGCGCCAACAGCCGGATAGCTCCTCCATGCTTCTAGTGCGGATGTTTGGGGCTGGAACGACATTAAGTTGTGGTGATGCGACGTATGGATGTGTTGGAGTTTGAGAGTGGAGGTGGGTACTCAATCAATGAGTTATGCTGTGTAGTATGTTCAGAAATTCATTATATATTGTCGAGTGTTAACTGGGACTTCAATGAATCTGAAGTCAAGTCAAGTCAACTCAAAATAAAATGAAATGAATATATCATATCATATCATATCATACCACCTCAAATCAATTGAAGAAGCAAAAACTGAAGCTTCGAAGAAGAAAAAGCGGAGTAAGGATCTCGAATAATATCGAACCAATTCATACACATACACACATACACAAGTACCTACCAACCCTCCACAGAAATCACACAAAAAAAGCAACTATCCCCTCCCCTCCCCTCAAAAATCCCGAAACCCATCAACTTCTCCAAACCAAGCACCCGCGGCTCTGCGGATGAACAATCAACAAATTACACATCTCGCAGGCGGACGAATCTACAACCTCAGCAGATAGCACGACTGACGTGTCAAAACCCATTGGAAGCGTCAAATATCGTATCATTCCCTTCCCCTCTTCCAATCCTTTCCCACGCCGATGCGGTGCATGATTCATTGGCAATTCGCCATTCACTTGCCCATTCTGCAGAAGCGTGCGGTGGGTGACCAAGGAAAAATTTATCACTTCTTGCATGATCAATTAGAGCCAGTAATGCATACTTACCATTTGCGATTTCTTTGGATGGTTGGATGTGTCTGCGTATATGTATGTATGTACTATGTATGTATAAATGAATGATAAAGATAAAGATAAAGATAAAGATTCCAACCACAACCATGCATGCATGAACTCCATACGAACAAACCAGATTTCTCCAAGCTCTCCGCGATTGCATTGCATTGCATGGATCAAATCACCATTCATTGATCTCATCAACGGGATATCGTAGAATCGTGGAAGAATACCTATCAATGAATTGATTGTAAATCGCCACTGCTGCAATTGTAATGCCACGATATGAAGTGACACCAAGCCTTCGAAATTTTTTTTCTTGCAAAGTGGTAGATGTTATCACGACGAGCGAATCGTACAAGGCTGACTTTGTGGTTACGGCTGATGACACGGAATTGTGTTATTAGAGTCAAGCCGAGGCCGAGGCCACATCCGATACTCATCGGCTTCTTACATTGATTGTGATATATTAACGGTGCTTGATAATTCCAATCAATCGGCCAATTAACCATAACAAAATCAAGCTTCCCTTTCTGTTTTTAAAATAAGATAAATCTCTGTGTTGGCTCCTCTAAAAGATTATTCAAATCTACCATCCATCCTGTCCATCCTATCCATCCATTAACAGACAGAAGAAAAGAGAACAATGTACTCAGGTACCCGAACCGAATCAAATCAAATCAAATCAAATCAAATCCACATCCGCAAACATTGCAATAGATATCAATCATGCAGTGATCCACGCAGCATCCAACCTACACCAACAACGTCCCTCAGACTCGGGAAAACTTCCTCGATGATTTATTTCGATTCTTGATATCCTGATACCTTATTCAATATTAAAGCCATAGAGATTCAAAAACAAAAAACAAAAACAAAAACAAACAACAACAACAACAACATGAGAATCCTTTCCAGACCAAACTCGACTCATGAAAATCAACCCAATCGCACCTCACTAAAGTAACAAGTAACAATTGTAACCATCTTGAACATCACCGATAGATGCATACCTAGGTACATACATATATACATATATACATACACACATACACATACACACACACATACACATACATAAACACCATCCATCCCAATCTAACCACAACCACAAGCACACGCCCGGGCGTCCAAGAAAACACAATCCGAAACTCTCTTGGGTGCTCCCAACCGGTCGAATAATGATTGCAGAATGATGGTTAGAAATACTTACTAGGTATTTCAATCCAATGATAGGCACTCGCACTTGCGTCGCTAGAATAAATCATCATATCATAGGTATCATATCATCATATCATCATATCATCGAACCACAATCAATATATCATACCTTTTTCTCAGAATTCCCACAATCAACAAATTACAATACAATTCCAAGGAAAAAGAAAGAAAGAGACAGGGAAAAGGATAGGAAAAAGGATAGGAAAATAAAAAACATCCGTAGAAACCTAGACCATAAATATAACATCCTATTCCATCTTATTCCATCCCATACCATACCATCCCATCCCATACCAACATCTTGTCTCCCCATTTCACATATGTGTATACATATATATCATCAAGCCCTCCCTCAGAAATCATAATCATCAAAAGATTCTTTCCTTCTTTCTTTCTTTCTCTGTCATTCTCTCTCTATCATCCTCTCTTTACTTTACCCTTTCTCCACTCCCTTCCATCAATCTCGACATCCTCACAACCCACAACCCACAACCCACAACCCACCTCCCACCTCCCACCACCCACAACCCACCTCCCACCTCCAATATCCCACCTCCCACCTCCAACATCCATAAAATCAATCGATTCCAAACTCCTCGCAACTCCTCAAAACTCTCCAGAGACATGCACCCCTATATATACACACTCAGCACCCACACCTAACCCAGACCTAGCCTTCACACCTTAACCTACCGCCTCGACCCTCAAGCCCACCCCAGTCCAATCCATGCAGATACAAGTTAATACGCAAACAGCAAGAAGAAATCCTCTTCTCGCCTCCTACCTCCCTACCACCCCCTCGGCCCCTTACCTGCACCATCATCTCCCCACACATCGCCTCTACTCCCTCGCCCTCTCTCCTCTCTCCCTCTCTCCCTCTCCCTCCTCTCTCCCTCTCGTCCCTCTCCTTCCCTCTCTCCCTCTCTCCCTCTCTCCCTCTCTCCCTCTCTCCCTCTCCTCCCTCTCTCCCCCCTTCCTTTTTCTCCTCTCCCTCCCTATCCACCATCCATCTTCCCCTTCCCCTTCCCCCCCTTCCCCCCCCTCCTTTTTCTCCTCTCCTCTCCTCTCCCTCCCTATCCCCCAAAAATCCCCCTCAAAAATCCCCCTCCCTATCCCTCAAAAATCCCCCCTCAAAAATCCCCCTCAAAAATGCCCCCCCAAAAATCACAAACACAAACACAATCACTAACACAAAAAAAGAATCCTCAGTATCCACTTCCACTTCCACTTCCACTTCCACTTCCACTCTCTCCACTTCCACTTCCACTCCCTCCACTTCCACTTCACTTCACTTCACTCCTCACAAGGCTGTAAGGCAAAAAATAATGTCTCAGATCCTTCGAATCTCCAATCTCCAATCTCCAATCTCGAATCTCGAATCTCGAATCCCTCCCTTTCTCCTTTCCGTTTCACCCGTCTCATTTCGTTTCGTTTGGTAAGTGGCAAGTGGCAAGTGGCGAGTACAAGTCATAATAAGTACCTATCGAGTAATGGGTCTAAACACATTCCACCTTTCGTATATTTCAAAAAGAGCTTTGTTTTCATAACAATCCATTATTCGCATCACATTCAAAACATCACTTAATATCACATCACACTTAAAATCACAACTTTAATAAAATCAAACGACAAGATGTAGAATACAAACGATATCATTGTTACACGCAATTGGTTGTAGAAATTTACCATGATCTTATCTCTTGTCCCAGACCTATCTAGACAGACCTAGACTTTGCCCTAGACTAGACCAGACCAGACCAGACCATAAAAAAATCCATCGATAGCAAAAAACGATACCGCAAGATCATCATCCGATATGAAAAGGAAAACGGCAACATGTGCACAAGTTGATCATCCCATTCCCCTGTCAAAACATAACACCCCAGCCCAAATGAAAAGCAGAAAAGATAACCCCGGAGAACCTCCCAACTTGTATGATTATGTCATCTTTGATAGTGATGGTCGGATAGGTAGCTATCAAGACTATCATTTGTCGAGATGAAGTGATTGAAAGTTTGAGTGATTAAAGAAATCTCTAAGAAGACTCTTCCTCCTCAGCATCGGCCTGTAAAAGGTATTGTTTAGTTCCATCTTTCTTTTCACGAGAATTTTCCGCCATGATGGCATGATTGATACGCACTGTAAGACTTACGTTGTAATTGGCCTTCTCCTCTTCGTAACGTTTCTTATCTTTGGCAGCAGACTCCTCGTAAGGAGTTCTTTGCTTCTCGTTCAAAGCCTTCCAGCGTTCACCGAGAACCTTTCCGACTTGACCTATAAGTTTCTCACGTTAGTGATGCAATTGTAAGTGTGATGTAGGAATGAGATCATACCGAAAGAGATTCCGGGGTTCTCCTCACGAACGTTATCACGTTGTTCGTTGGCGAAGAACATGTATGCAGAAAGACCACGCTTTGGTGCGTTGGGATCTATGGGAGAACGAGTCAGTCTGTGGGTTTTCACAAGAGGCAATTCACGAGGAAGAGTTAACATACCCTTCTTCTTCTTCTCAGTCTTCTTGGCAGCACGCTTGGGAGCCTTTTCCTTTGGCATATTGAATTAAGTGAAATGGGTCTAATTGAGAAGAAATAAAGTCAGTACGATTGATTGAAATGTTTATGCGACCGTAATAAATTTGCGACGATGACTATGGAGAGTGGTTGTGGTTGAGACCAAAGTGGACCAAAATCGACGAGCAAGTGGTTGATGATTTGGTGGTGATAGCGCGTTATGAAGGTGTTGTAGTATTTTTGTATGGAGTTGCGAATAATGTGAGAGGTGAAAGCAGTCGCAAAGGGAATAACTTCCTCACGACGTGGAATGTGAACGTGATGAAAGATGGATATGAAAGGGAAAACTTACATCTAAATGGATTTATAAAGTGACGACAGTTATTAACTGACGTGGTGGATCTAAAACGCGAAGAAGTTGAATCAGTGAAATGGTGCTTGGTATGAGTGGTAGGAGTAGCAAGGTCGAAGGGAGATCGCGACGCAAAGAGGTGACGCGCCGACGGAGTTGAAAAGAGAAGCAATTGTATTGGA